AGAGTTACGATCAGACATACCCCTGCACCCCCCCATCACCGTTGTGTCTGCTAATGGGGGATCTTCTCCCCCCTGCTGTCAAAATTTAAAATAAAAATTTCTATGCGGCGCTCCGGCCACATTTACTCATCCACAGTATTCTGTGAATGTGAAAACTACTAGTCACGGCAGCCTTTGCAGTTGTCGGCTTGTGTGGTTTTCAATCAACTATCACGGCGCTCCACAGTGCCATGGTAGTTCATTGAGCCTTCCTGTCAGTAAGTATCTGCTTCCCCGATCTCCGGGACCCAGTGATTGACAGCCAAGGCTGCGAATAGCTGCACGGGTAGGGAGCGTGCACGGCTCAGAAATGCGAAATCACGTATATATACGTGATTTTGAACACCCCTGACGCCCTGTAGCAGTATATCTCCTATAGGGCGGCAGGAAAGCAGTTAATTGAAAAGTACAAAAACAAAGTTACCTGATAAGCCTTCTTTTCTGATCTTCTGGAGTTTAACCGCTTCCATACCGGGCACTTTTACCCCTTTCCTGCACAGGACATTTTTCAGGTTTCAGCGCTCTCACACTTTGAATGATAATTGCACGTTCATACAACACTGTACCTAAACTAAAATGTTATAATTTTCTTCACACAACTAGAGATTTCTTTTTGTGGTATTTAATCAACACTGAGGTTTTAATTTTTTGTTAAATTAAAAAAAAATACAGAAAAATCTAAAAAAAAAAAAAACCACGTTTTTCTTTGTTACTGTTACAAAAGTTTGCAAATAAATAATTGTTCTTCATACATTTAGGCCAAGATGTATTCTGCTACATGTCTTTGGTGAAAATAACCCAAATTAGTATTTATTATTTAGTCTGTGGGAAAGTTATAGAGTTAGAGTTCACAAACTATGGTATTTATCTGAATATTGATCAATCCTGAAGTACTGACAGCCAATCTGATTCTCTGAGGTCCAAGAATGTCAGAAAAGTACATATATTCCCCCCAAATGACCCCTTTTTGCAAAGTAGACAGTCCGACGTACTTCATAAGAGGCATGGGGATTTTTTGAAGTTGTAATTTTTTTGTCATAATTTTTCGGAAAATGAAAAAAATTATTTTCACTATTTTTTTTTTACATACTGTCACCAGTGCAGTACAGCGTCATCATATAACTGGCATGGTGGGGATCAGGGGCTCACTGACTGGTGACAGTTTTTTAATTAGTTTTAATTTTTTTATTACATTTTTTTTTTTTTTTTTAAGATTTTTTTTCATATTTCACTATGACCAAAGTAGTACACATGTTATTAAGGAACATTGTACTACTTTGGGGAAGTAATCAGTATTTTTTTTTTACACACAATTTGCTTATAGCAAAGAATTACTTTGCTATAAGCAAGCATTTACCTGAATGACATCAATTCATTCAGGGTTTTTTTTTGTGCTTAGCTGTGATTTGGCCACAGCTAATCACATGACACAGCTGGGCTGTGATTGGCCCAGTTTGTGCATGTGATCGCTGTGACCATTCACAGCTAGACACACTAGTATACAATGGATGGCATGAAAGGAAGCCTTCCATAGTAAAACAACTGTCATGTGACCTGCTGTGATTGGTCACAGCAGTCACATGGTACCAGCAATGGGGCCGGTACTCAGATCTGTCATCGGCTGTGTCCGAGGTACACATGGCCGGGTGACAGATCGTCGTGCCGCTGTGCGGCTCTGCGAACAGGCAAACTGCGTATGCCTGAAAGGACGCCATATGGCATCCACCCGTAGGGAAGGGGGTTTTGCAGGCTGCCATCTGGCTATAGGCTGGGCGGGAACCTGTTAATAGACACTAGCTAGATCAAAGCCGTGCACATAAAGCCTGAAAATCTGAACTTCAGCTTCCCTTCAGTCTTACACAGTTGTACAGAACTTCTCTGCTCTACTGACATGGCTTGATTTCACTGCACACTGAGCTTCTCACAGTGTGCATCACAAGTCAGAGCCCACCTTATTTCCTTGCTGGAGGACATCAAGCATCTATTCTTTCCTCCCTGCCTTCCTGTCCCCTGGTCCACCCTTTTCATTGATTGGATTTCAGTTTTTCAATCATGAAGGTTCGGCACCATGTGTGCATTACCTGGAGTGATTTGTGTGCCAACGAAGCCTGCCTAGAAACGCCACTGCTGAGAGACGGACATCCAACCATCAAAGCATTTTGATTTTTGCACAACTCATCCTAAGAGCCAGCCCACTGCTTGCATCAGAACTGAGGACCTATGAGAGGAATACTGAGGCAGGGTGCTGTGATCATTTCAGAAGGCCAGCATCCCTCTAGCACCTCTCACCAGCCATTACATAGGGAAGCACAGAGACCCAGTGATGTCTAAACAAGGTATGTAGTGAAAACAGAAAGTTTCCTTTTAAAACTCATTAGCATGTTGATGGAGATGGAAAAGACATCAACTTCATAGGAAACCCTGAGGAACTTATCCTTTTGAGAATTTGTAGTACCCGCCATGATACTTTGGATCATCCTTCACAAGTACAGAGATGAGGAATTCTAACAGTTTTCTGACATTCACAGAATGCTTGTTCCAGGTATTGAAGCCAAATAACCAGGCACATGGCTTTTTCAGAATACCAACAATGGCCACAAAAGCAGACCCATACTTCTCATGAGAGGTAGACTTTGAAGGAAACGAACGCATGAAACAATATGGAGATCGTTATGGACCACTCTGAAAATGCTATTTGCCTGGCTGTCTCTAGCATCCATACATTTAAACACCATCTTGAAACTAGCATGCAGGTTAGAAAGTAAGGATGCACCAATACCCTTTTCTGATAGGCGAGTACCAATACTTTCGGTCAAGTACTGGCCGATACTGTTTGCCAATACTTTGTGGTGCGATGTGCGTCAATACAAAATGTATGGACACAAATTGCTCCGCAAAGAACAGCATGCGATTTGAACTGGAATGCAATTTCTGATCAATTGGATGCGGTATCCCCACTGGACAGGAGCGGTGCAGGGAGTTTTCCCGCGCAGCAGAGAGTGGGCGTGTGGGGGATGTATACCATGGTGGCAGATGCTCCATATTCTCAGCAGGAGAGGAGAGAAAGCTGTGGGGATTTGAAATCCCTTCCAATTCCCCTTCTTGCAGCGATGACAGTCCGGGCTAGAGGACTATTGATTGGTCAACACCGTCACATGGACGGTGCTGACCAATCAGACGCCCATCTAGTCCCGTACTGTCATCGCTGCAAGGAGAGGAGAGAAATCCGCTTCACAGGTCTGCAGATTTGAAATCCCCACGACTTTCTCTCCTCTTCTTTCAGCGATGACATTACGGGCGAGACGGCTTCTGTTTGGTCAACACCATCCATGTGTCCATAACCAAAACAGGAAGTGAGAGGAAATCCATGCAAACTAAGGGAATTCCTTCGGATCCCCCAGATCACCAGAACTAGTGTTCCCATCGAAAGATTTCCCCTCTATTACTTTTCTGGGGACAACCCAAAATGTGGGATTTTCTTTCCCATTCACTTTGGATGATAATGGTAAACAGGACTAACAGAGAGGGGGGATCTCCCTAAAAACGGGGGCACAGACAGCAATAAACACTGACAGGGGTTCCAATCATCTCCACTCCATCCAAAACGAAACATTTCTTTCCTTTACTTATCATTTAATTTTTTTTAATATTTAGATTTGTTTTTAGTATTCCTCAGTGATTGTATGACATGGATCTCTTTATGAAGAGTGGAGGAGAGGGGCGGGGAAGTGATATTTGGGGGATTATAGCTCCGTATTCATTTCCTCTATGATTGGCTGATGGCTGATATCAAGGGGGGGTCTGGCACAGCTGCTGGGGGAATTTCTGCACAGTGCTGGGTTACTATAGATTGAATACATGGAAAGTAATGAGATGTATCTTGTGCAGGCCTGGGGGGACAGGGGCAGTTGTGGTAACGCGGGGGGGGGGGGGGGGGGGATGTTTGTGGTAACGCTGGGGGGGGCTGTTGTGGGTAATGCTCTTTGGGGATAGGGGATGTTGTGATAATACTGGGGGGGGGGAGGTTTGGGGGATGTTTTGATAACGCTAGGGGTATGGGGGATGTTGTGGTAGTGCTGGGGGGGGGGGGGGATGTTGGGGTAACCCGGGGGGATGTTGTGGTAACGCTGCTGGGGGGCATGGGGGATGTTGTGGTAACGCTGGGGGGGAATGGGAGTGGGTGTGGTGAACGCTGGGGGGGATGTTGTGGTAACGCTGGAGGGGGGGTGGGGGGCACTTGAGGGGGTGATGACAGGCGATGGTGGAGCTCCAGCTATGTCTGTTCCTCACCCCCCATCACTTCTTGGTCTCTCTGTAGATAAAACACTCCCCAACCCCCCCACATACCATTGGCCTCCCTCAGCTGGGCTCCCCCGATCACCAATTTTGCCTGCCCCGAACCTCGTTTCTCTCAGCTGCCGGCCCTCTCCGCTCCATCCCTCCTCGGGCTCGGCCTCCTCTCTGTGACATAGAAGAAGATGGCCGCTGGAGGAAAGGAAAGCGATCTTTATGGTGTGTATTGGAGCTGATTGAGAAGGAAGACATCTATGGAGGGGAGCGGTATTACCGCCATGGAACACATACAGACACAGTGACATCTTGTGGCGGAATTTAGGAAAAACCACTAAAGTCACCACAATACTGATTAATTCTATGTAAAAAATCAATAAAATTATATCAAATTTATTTTGGGTGTCAGTCAAAATATGTAGGCCCAAAAAGTGACAGTTGGTGTGAGGTGGAAGGCTGTGATTGGCAAGCAGGGCAATTAGCTCTGCCTCCAGGCTAGCTCTCACACCACTTCCACCCTGGGCACCGAGCGATATGCATCGTCAGAGCGAGTCTCCTGCGACTGACTGCGATTATTAGCATTTATATTGCTAATATAATTAGCATATTATTGTTTATATTATTAGTGGTGACATTTTATATTTTTAGCCATTTTCAGGTCATCCAGCGCCATCAGGAAACCACGACCTTCACAATGCCCATCCCGTGAAAGGTCTTCACATTAGGAGGATGGAGGGTTTCTGATCGCCCATCGGATGAGGTCCAGAGTCCAACGTCATCAGAGACGGGAGGAGGCCTCCACCCTCCGGAGCCATTCACACCAAGAGAGCGCGCACCAGGGCCCCTGAGCAGCACCTACCACTGGCCATGGAGCAGCACGCCGAGGAGGAGGTCATTCTCTGTCCCAGTTGCTTGGCAGGTTATGAAGATGGAGAGACATGACCATCCTGGCCTGCGCTCACGAGTTCCACACCAGCTGCATCCACCGTTGGCTTGAAGAGAGCGCCAGCTGTCCAATCTGCAGGACTGCTATTCCCAACCAGCAGGAAGACCAGCCACTCCTCCCTGGGGACATACACAAAGTCGTCATTGGAGACATGCAGATTCGGTATATCATTGATGATGATGGTGCTATACACTTGCCATTTATTGTGTACCTATACGCATAACATCTGGATGACAAATGCAAATGCCTGGATGACATCAGCTGTGTTGGTAATGTAAATGACAACTGTTATTGTGTATATATACATTTTTTAAAATTCTTTATATATTATTAAATATTATACATGTTTAGCTATTTTAGCCATGCTCATAGAAGTTATTGTATTAACACTTTAAAAAAAAAAAAAAAACATTTTATTAATATTATATATATTCTTAGCTGTTTTATGATTATAGTAGGTATTGTATTAATGTTTGAAAAAAAAGTTAAAAACAAAAAAAGAAAATGTACTTTTGTATTATTATTATATGTATTTTTAGCTGTTTTATGATTATAGTAGTTAAGGTAACTAATGCTTTGAAAAAAATATATTATTATTACTTTTATTAATAATATATATTCTTAGCTGTGTTATGATTGTAGTAGTTATGTTAAAAAATGTTTAAACAGTTGCTGTTTTGTTGAGTTAATGCTATATTGTTACTGTTAATCATTGTTTGCTTTGCAGGAACACCAATCAGCTGCAGCACTGACATGTTTACACTGACAACAACAGGGTGTTGCTCTCACAATATACATGTCAGTCCTTGCAGTGCTGCTGGAGGAGATTTCTCATCTGCAGTTTAAAAAAAAGAACATATATGCCCAAGCATGGGGGCCTGGGGCGGTCAGTGGGTAGATCGCTCCTATGCATATATTTTTTCACTTTTTTTCTGGCACATATTTCTGTATGCACATTGATCGATGTGAATGGAGAAGTCTGTTAAGTTTTATTTTTAGGTATGTGTTAGGGTCTTCTGGCCCTTGGGGCAATATTCTTCCCACTAACATTAACAATGGGACATAATTCCTCCTATTGACACGAATGATGGGGAACTATTCTTCCCACGGACACCAATGATGGGGCACTATTCCTCCCACTGACACTAACGATGGGGCACTATTCCTCCCACTGACACTAACGATGGGGCACTATTCCTCCCACTGACACCAACGATGGGGCACTATTCCCCCCACTGACACCAACGATGGGGCACTATTCCTCCCACTGACACCAACGATGGGGCACTATTCCTCCCACTGACACCAACGATGGGGCACTATTCCTTCCACTGACACCAATGATGGAGCACTATTCCTCTAATACCAAAAATAAGGTTTTGTTCACTCTCACTGATGGTAGGACATTTCCTCCTCTCACTGGCCACAGTTCGGCCCCAGTTGTAGTCTGAAGAAGAATAAATTGGCCCTTTATTTAGAAAGTTTGGAGATACCAGCTATATAGCTTCACCAACTCTCTCTTTGATTCTTTGCCATGTAAATACTTTAAAGATTTTTAACCTTCACCATCCTCAATTAGACACTAAAGACCCATTTATATACCGTTTAATTCCCTCAGGACCCACTCTAACCTAGAGACTTTACAAACATACCTATCACAGTCCCGTTATAAGTCGCTAATCAATGCCATTACTAGTACAAAAAAAAAATTCCAGTATACATACTGCTATTTGTAAAAGCTATCATTTTCACACACTTTCACAATTCACATTGTCACAATTAATATACACGTATTGGGATTTTGTTTACCAAAGACATGTAACAGAGTATATTTTGGCCTGAATTTATGAAGAAATTTTATTTTTCTAAAATTTTTATTGAATATGTAAAGTAAAATTTTTTTTTTTAAATTTTTTTAAATTTTCAGCCTTTTTCTATTTATAGAAATATATATAATTTATATTTTTGCAGAAAATTAAAAACCCAGTAGTGATCAAATACCACCAAAAGAAAGCTCTATTTGCATGTAAAAAATGACATAAATTGTATTTGTATACAGCGTTGCATGAAAGCGCAATTGTCACTTAAAGCACTACAAGCTATATAGCAAAAAATGTTCTGGTCATGAAGGGGGGTAAATCTTCCAGAGGGTAAGTGGTTAATGTGTTACGCAATACTCTCCACTTACTGTGCTGTTTATTCCATCTTTGAAAATCTCCCCTTTTTCAAGGAGCTACATTCACTGTAATGGGCCTAGCTTGATTCTTTGTCCAGTAACTTTGTATTAACGATACATGCGGTCATGTAACTTTACAGATATTTTAAGATATCCTAAGGCACATGTGTCAATCACAAGGCCCACGGGAAATATTCAAGTCACAGCAGTTGGCAGCACAGGACTCCTAAAGATCCTGCGCCTCTCTCTGTGCAGCCGCAGCACCCCCTCATCTCCGCCTCCCCTGGTCTCAGCATTCAGCAGACTCCGGCTCTCCTCTGGTCCCACTCCAGCTCTCCTCTGGTCCCACTCCAAACCCTGTACTTTCAACTTCTCAGCTCTGCCCTCCACGTCTTCCCAGCAGCAGCACAAAATAAGAAAATAAGGTGGGTGCACTGTGATGTAAGGGAGGGTAGGGAGAATCTTGACTTCTGACGGTGGTGGTGGGGGGAGAGGGCTCATGATATCTGATGTAAGGGGGTAGGGGTGCTCTGGATGTCTAGTCCTACAGATACACAACATCTTAGAAACCAGGGAATGGGGTCAGGTACACCTGACCTTAGCAGGGACATCTACTCCATCTGTCAGGGTGCTGCTGCGGTCTACAGGTTCCTATTCTGAGGCAGATTCTGTCATTGAGGCGTCCCCTGCGCTCTCATCGGACATGCTCAGAATCCTGTAGGCATCTTCACTAGAGTACCTCTCGTTTTGGACATTTTGGCCACTTAATTTATAGGTACATAGTGCGATTCATGGTAAAAAGAGGAACAGGCTGTCAGGGACTGCTTGAACCGCTACAAAAAAAAATTTACCTGCAAATGCTAACAGAGATCAGGCCTGATTCTGTGAACACTGCGGTTTTGTGTGTGCAATGTATCATGTGACAGCGACCTACTGACACTGCATTTGCTGGGGGTGAAGGGGGGGTAAGCGTAGGGGCTAAATCGCAGGTGCTGGCATTTGCCAGGGCTGATCCTGCTAATGCTGCGTTTTTGGGAACACTATACTAAAGTGAATGCTGGTATAGTACTGATCTGATCAAACGTATTGATCCGTTCTGACACTATACTAGCAATGGAGGTTTATTGTGTATGAGCGTGTTCCTGGCAATCAAGGGTTTTAAATGTGATTACTGGAGTATTGATGAGCAATCTGACGCTATCTGGGAGGGTTGTGAAAACCACGGGAGCGCAAATCACGTGTATGTATGTATGTATGTATGTATATATATATATATATATATGATTTTGCGCACCCGTGCCACCCTGTAGCAGTATTTCTGCTATAGGGCGGTCCAGAGGCGGTTTGTGTTACGGCGCTACGTTACTTTAACTGACAATTGCGCGGTCATTCAATGCTGCACCAAAATGAAATTTACGTCCTTTTTTCCCCACAAATTCAGCTTTCTTTCAGTGGTATTTGATCGCCTGTGCATTTTTATTTTTTGCGCTATAAAAAAAAAAAGACCAAAAATTTTGAGAAAAAAAAAAAACAAATATTTTGGACTTTTTGCTATAAAACATGTCCAGCAAAAAAATGTAAAAATAAAATTTCGTCATAAATTTAGGCCAAAATGTATTCTGCACATGTCTTGGCTAAAAAAAATTAATAATGGCGCAATCAGCAACTTATAGCGGGACTGCGGCGGACATTCTGACACTGGGGGGGGAACTGACTTGGGGTAACTGACATTCCCAGTGACACCAATACAGTGATCAGTGCAAAAAAAAAACCCCACTGACACTGTACTAATGGCACTGGGGAGGAAGGGGTTAACATTTGGAAGCAATCAAAGGGTTAACTGTGTGAGGAGAGTGTTTTACTAGGGGGTGGGGGTGTGTACTTCACAGTAACACACTGATCCAGAAAGCTGTGCTCAGCAATCCGGATTAGTGTGCTCAAACTGAACAGGCAAGAGAGCTGCACTGTAAGCACTGCAGCCATGCTCCGTCAGTGATTGCCGGTAATCAATCGGCAACCTCACTGATCACCTCAGATCGGCGGCACGCGAGTAGTACGGTTGCGCGTTCGCCTCTCCCACCCTAAATACAAAATCACGTATATATACATGTGATTTTGCGCAGCGGTGCCGCTCTGCCGCAGTAAATATACTGTGGCTGGTCGGCAACGGGTTAAACTGTTCTCTAAGTAAACGTTGTTTCATTGGACCTCACATCTATCAGTTGGGATTAAAATTTGTTAAGTGAGAAGATGTCAAACACAGATGGGATGGGTGCAGTACTGCTGTGACTGGTCTTTACACACACACGCAATGTCTACTTCCAAAACACGTGTACTTTTTATGCACAGCTTTCCAATGCTGAATTACATAACTCTGGTCTAACCACTTACGTTCCTAATGGCAGAGCTGTTTAGATCTTTTCATATAATCTGTCAGTGCTGTAATTTTAGCTTCAGAAACTGACAGGGCTATTAATAAGCAAATTGGCAAAGCCCAGTCTTTGACCCCAAGGGAACTTTTGGCTTAAATGAGCTAGATATGTCCCAAGTGCATTGCAACAATGTTTCAGTTCATTGTTGTAAAAATCAGCTACAGCCCCACATCTATAGTCCATGGGTTTGGGCAGCGGCTGCACCCTCTCCTTGAAGCCCTCTAAGATTTCTATTTATCCCTCACTGCCGCACAGTTGATCTCTGTGGACAACCGTTGATGGATACCCATTGCCAGGTTCAATTCCCAGTTTCTCTCAGCACAAACTCCACACCCACCACTAACTGCACTTAACCTCTTGCCGCCCAGCCACTGCATATAAACGTTTGCAGGGCAGCACAGCTGCGCAAAAGCACGTTTTAAAACGTGCTCTGCGCTCCCGAGGTTTTCGTGGGCAGGGGGCGCGCGCCTTCTTCTGCCGACCCGCAGGTGTCACGATTTGATCCCGGAGGGATCGATCATTCGATTTCAGCCTGTGATGTCCGGCTGAAATCGGATGATCGGTCCCTGTCCTATCCTGTCCTGTGTTGACAGTTACACAGGACA